TCAGAGGAGTCCATATAGCATTTCAATGCATAAACACTAATTTTTGGGTCACACCATTTTGCAAGATAAAAATCCTAAAGGAAAAACACAGAGCATGCATCAAAGATTCTTTAGGCAAGCCCTCAACTGTAGAATTTTAAGGATTTTAGTAAAGATACCATAATCTTTCAAAATAAGAAACAAAATCCAGTTCCAGAGTATTTTGTCTATGAAAATGACGCATTTTTCAGAGTAGCCACTTCTATGTAGAACTTACAAATCACAGTGTTATCTATTAAAACAACCCATGCTATTGAAATTCACTTTCCTTCCAGTAATCCAATTTCTCTTGCCTTTTCACTTCTGAGTAATAGGAAATGAGTTCTGATCCATTAACTCGCCTACTCTCTCCTGGAGGAAGTTAACCAATTCAGCTAATACAAAGACATGAGTTTCATCCAGGTCTTGTATGATGAACTTCTTTCCCAAAGCATTTGACTCATCCAAGTAGAGCAGAAACTGCTTCATTGCTGGGTCACTGTAGAGACAAACATACATCAGATCTCACCCCAGTGTAATAAGATACAAACAAATAGAAGAAAACACCGTTTGAAGATACTCCCAAAGATTTTAGGGAAATGATTACTAATCTCAAGACTCACTCACAAGTTAAATACAGTATATGAAGCTTTTGAAAAGGTTGTTTCTTTCACAGTACTAATTTTAGAGACAAAAATAAACTGATAAAGTCTAATGACTAGAACCAGGTGCTTGATTAGCAGAGAAGTTCCCTTATGCTGCTGCTAAAGCATCTTAAAAAAACCCACAAACAACTAAAAATCAAAAATCCAACCCTTAATAAGCTAAGCTTGAATTTACGTTTTTGTCTTCAGCAATAGTGCTATGAAAACATGTTTTCTTAAAGCATACTTTTGTTTAAGGATAACCAAAACCCAGGAGAACACAGTTCTTACTCAAAGTAATATAGCATGGAGAAAAATTCAAGCATGAATTGTACATTTATCGCACCCTAACTGAACAGTCACGATGTCACCTCTTAAGTTAAATGTTTAGATGAAAACGTTTCGGAATTATGGAAATTACAGGTAACTTAAACAGTTGCATCACAACAATTCCTTTTGTCCAGATTCTTAAGTTACTTAAGGTCTGGAGAAATAAGCAGGTTTTGACACACGGAAAGTCGCTAAGTGCTGTCACTCACCACTCAATCAGAACACCTTTCAGAACATTCACCATCTTTTCGGTTCTCTTACAAACGCCGGGAGGGAGAGGCCGCAAAAACAACCCCTTGCTTCGGGTCGCACACGCGAATGGAGCAAACCTGCAAGCACCAAGAACAAACAAACAAACAACGCTTTGGTTAAACTCGTAAATTCTTTAGACAACTCACCTCCCCGGACCAGCAGCGCTGCTGGTCCCGCCCGCCTGGGACAGAGGGGCTCCCAGAAGCTCCGCTCCCTAGCCTTGCCCCCGCCTCGCACCGCGCGACTCGCGCAGGCCACGACCCTCCACCTCCAGCTCCGCCGCTCCCGGACAGCGGAAGCGCCTTTTTCGCGCACGCGCGGCGCCGCTCCCGGCAGCGCCCGCGGGTTGGCGTCACCGGGCGCGCGGGCGCCGCCATCGGGAGCGGCGGCGGAGGCGGAAGGTGGGAACTGCGCTGCTGGAGCGGGGTGGGGGCATGGCGGCCGGGACACGGGGACGGGGCGGGACACGGGGGGGCGTCTCGGGCTAGCAGGTTGTTTTGTTTCTGAACCCCTTCGGAAAGAGGCACAGAGCCACCCCTGTGTACGTGTTTCATCGCCTAAAATTGCGATGATGTTTGTTGTGGTTTTTTTGTTTTTTTAAATAAGCCGCGGTGGCGCAGTCGCGAGGCAGCGGCGCCCCTGCCCCACGGTGGGTTCGTGACGGGCAGGTGGGCACCACACCCGCCAGTGCGGGAGGGGGCTCGCAGCTGTCCGGACCGGCTGTGAAACAGGCTGCAAAATGGGTCCTTTCGCGTTATGTTTGCGTATATCCCTAAACATAAAATCCTCAATATGAGCCGCAATGTGCGCCCACAGCCCAGAAAGCCAACCCAAATCCTGGGCTGCATCAAAAGGAGTGTGACCAGCAGGGCAAGGGAAATGATTCTGCCCCGCTACTCTGCTCCGGTGAGACCCCACCTGTAGTGCTGCATCCAGCTCTGGGGCCCCCAGCGTAGGAAGGACATGGACCTGCTGGAACCGGTCCAGATGAGGGCTGCGAATTTGATAAGAGTACTGGAGCACCTCCCCTGTGAAGACAGGCTGAGAAAGCTGGGGCTGTTCAGCTTGGAGAAGGGAAGGTTCCATAGAGATCTCATAGCAGCCTTAAAGGATTTGAAGGGGCCTGCAGGGAGGCTCTCCATCAGGAACTGCAGTGATAGGACAGGGAATAATGGGTACAAGAGAAAAAGGAGAAATTTAGTTTAGATATTAGAAAGAAATTCTTTACTCTGAGGGTGGTGAGGCCCTGCAACAGGTTGCCCAGGGAGGTTGTGGCTGCCCCAACCTTGGCAGCATTCAAAGCCAGCTTGGAAAAGGCTTGAGCAACCTGGTCTAGTGGGAGGTGTCCCTGCCCATGGCAGGGGGGTTGAGAATAGATGATCTTTAAGGTCCAGTCAAACCGCTATGATTCTATGTGCGCTCTTGGACCTGAACAGAGGCTCCTGGCAGCAGAGAAATGGCACTCATTTTGGCCTCCTGTGTTTGCAGGTGCTTGTTTCAGATTCAAGTAATTGTGGCACCTGCTGTCACTAAACCACATGTTTATTGCAGTTATAGACTGTGGCTAGGGAGAAGAATAAATGCATGTGATTCTGTAAATAAAGGTAGTAAAGGAACTGCCATCAGACAGAGTTTGGAGGCGGGAGAGGTGTCTCTAGAGGACTGATTATCAGTGTCTTCAAAGTGTATCAGTGTTGTGTACTCTGCTGAAGTGAGTGGATAAGCACAATGTTGAAATGACGGAAGTCAAAAAGTAGTCTCCTGGCAGTGATTGTGGGAGTGCTGGGGTAATACTGACGTTTTTCAAAAATGCCCCAAACACAAGCAAGAGACAAGTGAAAAATCAAAACTTTTGGGGAAATGAGAAAAGAGGAAGACACATTAATGGAAGGAAACAAAGAGAAACCCCTTGTTTGGAGGAATTGGACACTGATAATAAAAGTGATATAAGTGTTTTTCTTGGTCTTAAATTCAAGGAGCTTATCAGGCTCCCATGTTTCAAGATCAGATTTACACAAGGGACATATTATCATTTTGAGTTAATTGTGATTGTGGTGATATAGACTTAATTTGTTATTTAATAAGAATGACTATGTTTCCAACATAAGAATTTGATTGATATGGGAGAGATATTGGTGTGGTTTTAAATCCACTTAAACACATTAACTCAATATTTCAGTTAGTATAAATGCATCAACACAGACACTAAAATTTCACTTATAAAATACAAGTTTCATGTCACTGCTGCAGTGTATGCAAAAATGGCTTTTTTGCATATTTTTGTGATTATTACGTTTCATATTCTTTCTGGGTTTTCCCATAATGCTTGTACTAAAAATACTATATGTTCTATCAACTAAGACTTGAGAGGAGGTCTTTGTCAGAAGTAACATGCAGAACTTTGTTGTTATGGGTTGCCAAAGCCAGTTTTTAAATTTTCCTAATTTAGACAAGTTTTTCTTATATAAAGAAAGTAACTTCTTATATAAAGGCAGTAACTTTTGCTAATACATAAAATGGTAAGTATGTGTGAGTGGTAGGAACAGGAATTGGTGCTTTTGCCTGGCCTAAATTGACTTGGTTTTCTGTGCTTGACTAATGTAACTATATTTTCTTTTAACTTCATTGTGCAGAGGTTAAGATACAGCCTTGATCAGTGGGCTAAAGTGCATAGTCCTTCATGAATAGTCCCACTTGTTAAAAGAGTCAAGGTAATATCTAGAAAGTGTATGGAAGTTACAGCAAATTTTTCTTAACTCGTCTTCCTGCCTATAAAACCAGGAAAATTGAGTGCCTAATCATATATATTAGAAGAATAAATCTTTTCATAATTCTGAAGGACTCTCATATTACCTTCATGAAGACTGCTACTGTCAAGAAAATTCATGCTTGCATTGACTTGCCTGTACATTCAGAACTTTGGTAGTTCTAATATATGTATGTTTGTGACTTTGAAAAAAAATCTAGTTTTATTTCAGCATTCAATGAATACAGTGCAGTTATTCTGTTGGTATCTTGTGACTTCATAATGTTGAATTGCTAAGGTCTTAATTTTAGAAAGGGTTCTCTTCTTCGTGACTCAGGCTAGATTCTCGTTCTTTTGCACATGTTAGAACCTTTTCAGAATGAGATGCATGTTTTACCTGTAAGCATGCCCTGTGAGTTTCATGAGCCCATTAAGTCAGAGCATTTGAGAAACAGTACTAATTTTTAATAACTGTAGAGGTTTCACATTCTTTAAGTATTAGTTAGATTTGCCATTTAAAGCCAAAAATATGTAGTAGTTCCTTGAGCCTTATTAATCAAAATGAAAGACTTACTTGCTAACACGATCAGTTATAAACTTTAAAAGCAGTTGGTTGCTGAGTTGTATTAAAGCCCATGTCATCTAGAGTAATGTCTTGATGGAGACATGAGCATATCTGGTATTTTAGGGGGAGTTACTAAGAAGTAGAAAAGGAAATTTAGAAGCAGAGAAGTTAATTGGAGATACGTGCTTACTAAAATCAACAGTAACACATAATTGATGAAAAACTGCTTTAAACTTTTCTTGTAATTGAAATGCAGCCCATTAAATTAAGGAGTTTATAGATTTTTTTAATTGGAGCGCTTTATAGGGAGTAAAAGGACACGAGTATGGTTTATTGGGACATTTGCTATCATGACCTTTTCTGTAAAAAGGCAGGACAATCTGCTGCAAGTTTTCTGCTGTAACTGTCAAATCAATCATTACTTTTTTTTTTTTTTAATATGCAGAATGTCAGTGTCTGCTTACTGTATATTTTGCTACAGACAAATAGGAACCTCAGGTTCAGCCACGAAAACACACCTACCCTGGAATATCAGTAAGTACAGTTCACTATGTATTGATCTGAAGTGTTAATAAAAAGGAATGGTATGATATCATACATTATTTAGAACTAAAGTTTTAAATCCCTGAAGACTTTGTGATTAAAAGCTCCTATTAACCTAAAGTGCCTATCTGCGTCTGACTTTGCTTAGCGTAGTGATCTGTGAAGTGACACCAGCAGATTATTTGGGAACAAACATGATGGGAGGTCCTCTCCTCACTAAATGTGGTCTCATTAAACTATCTTAAACTCCACTTGTATCTGATTTTTTTGGTAACTTCTAGAGCCATGAAATAATTACATCAATAAATGGGGAATAAAGTTTGTTTCTATTATTTATTTTATATTGTGTTGTTAATTCTGCAGTCTTTCTTGCTTAGTCCCTGCTTTCTTTGGTGCTTTCTGCATAGAATGACGATTCTTACAAAGTTTATTTCTGAGCATTAAAGATAGGATATTTCAATTTCTACTCTACAGGAAGCATTGCATTTTTTTTCTTTTTCAAACTTCTCTGCCAGTTATTTCTTCAACATGTAGCTGCTGCCTCTTGTCTGCATGCCAAATTCTTATGGTCTCACAAAGACGGAAGCTGGTAGCAGTGGTTGTGGGGCAAATCTCCCAGTTCATGCTGAGGAAAAGAAATTATTCATGATAGGTGAGATGGGTTCCATTGGGTTTGCTGCTACTGGTAATGATAAAGGGTTTCTCTGTATAGAGATCCTTATATTCAGATAATCAGATCAATGTGGTAGGGACAAAATAGCTGAAATCTAACAGGAATTATTAGACTTAAAAGGAAAATTGTTGCAAGTAGTATGTGTTTATCAGCTCTTTGCTTTATAAATTAGATTCAGTGGAATTATTTTTAAAAATAATTTTCTTATGGAGACTGCAGGACTTTTCAAAGAATGTACATACTCCTGTATGTAATAATATATGTTGAAGATATAGCTACACCATGTAAGAAAAAATTAACTTCTTAAAATAATTTAGAGTTCAAAATGATTGCTAGTGATACAGGCAGAGAAAGTTTACTGTTGATTCCTGCAGCTGAGCAATGAATGCAATTGAGAGATAGCAATACTCAAAGTAAATAGCAGTGGCGGGATACATGTTTTATCATCTTGCTTAGGAGAGCAGGAAATTCTAATCAAGTAATGTTTTCTCTGGTTGTAAATTTTGGTTAATGATTTCCTGAAAGGTGGAGAGCAATAGAAAAATTTTTAAAAGCTTATTCTTAGTGACTGGTGTTCTTACTGTTTGATAATCACATGGTAATTATGTTAATATTGAGGTGATGCACACAACTTTGTTTGACATGAGTTTTTCATTTTTTCAAGGAAAAATTGGAAAGGTAACTGGATCGCTTATACTAGGGTAAGTTGTAACTGACAAGCATATAAGTAATTTATGTACACAGTTAAAAGTTTAATATGTGTATCTCTCAAAAAATGTGACAATATCAGAGGATATTGTCCATTCCACCACAATAGACGTGGTGGAATATGGCTGGGAAGCATAATTTCTGATAGTCATTACTTATTTCAAGTATTTTATAGCCTTTTCTCTACTTTGTGAAATGAAAATAATTTACAGACTATTATGTATGTGGTAAAATCTGGATGATTTATAGCAAAGTGATTGTTAACTTTTTTTGCCATCATATTTTTTTAGTTAATATTCATATGCAGTTCTCTTTCCTTTAAAGAGGTTTTGTATTCATTACGTATGAAGTCCTGTCCTTAAATAAGTTGCTGCAAATTGATACTCAAGCTCTACATCAAGAAAAACTTAAATCATATGTATACGTACGTACAACTTCTCTAAATCCAAGTGAATATCAAGGTAAGGTGCATAATTGTTTGCGTTTTAAAAACAGAATTTTAAGAGAATAGAATGTTTCTGGAAGTCACCCTTATATAGTAAGGAAAGTTATATTTCCTGAGATCTGTTATCAAAAAATGTCACCAAATTTATTTTAAGCTGGTGACTGATTTTTTTTTTTTTAAGATTGTTCCTTCTATACATAGTTCTCTATATATGAGATAATTTTCTTTATATATGTCCATATGTATATGTGTGTGTATTTTTTTTCATGTATTTACAAGGGAACTGTGTTTCAGACTTCCAGTAATACAAAAATACTCTTGTAGGGATCACATACAAAGCCAGAAAAGAAATCCATAAAGCAGTGAGGAAAATTCTAGAAACTGAAGCTAAAATATTCCGGAGACCTTTTAATGGTAGGTATTGAAAGCATGACTTTATCTATTATTATTGTTTTTTAACAGTGAGAAGTAAGACTTCTAGAAAGTAAAATATTTTTTCTCACAAACTTAACATGTTCTTTTCTGTTTGAAACAGTGATAATATAACTTATAATTTCTATATTAATATGGATTATTGGTTGTCTATTTTCTATGTATTAAAACCATTCTTTTTCTTAAAGTAAACAAAAGCAGAGGTTAAGAGGGGATTTGAGGGTTGTTTTGTTCTTGTTTCAGAAGAGATTTAAAGCTTAAGATACCGGGCTAATATTTGATACCAGTTTTGTGTACAAAAGGTATTTGTGGGATGAAATACTCTCAAAATCTGATTATAGAAAAGTATGTTATGTTTTCATCAGAATTGATAATATTAACTGAAAGCAGCACAGGCTATTTGTAACAGTGTCACTGCTTTTTAGAGTAATTTACAATAAGAACTTCAATTTGTATAAGAAACTCTGTTCCTGAGGCATACTGTCTATTCTCATTTAACTGCCTGTTAAATAATTATAACAATATGCACCTCCTATGAAATGTCATGTCATTCTATGAAATTAATTGTTCAAGGTCAGAGCCTCAAAAGTTGCTGGTAATTCTGGTTGATAAGTGCCAGTCAGGGGTTGTCACATATATTTGAAATATCAACTTGGTGCCACTAAAATGAATTAAACCCACCATTTAAGGATCAGCATTTTACTGATGTCATTCTGTGATTGTTTATTGTACTCATTTAATATTAAAACATTACACTCTAAATTACTGTTAACAACTAATATTCAGATATTAAAAGAAATGTATTTCCTTACTCAACAAGTAGCAACGTGACTGTTAAAATGCTCATTAATAATAACATGTTTCATTTGTTTCTTGTTAAAAGAACAATTCAGTACATTTGATGGAGAAGAGCATGAGTGTGCCTTATGGCTTCTCTTAAAGAGAACTCAGTCAGAAGACAAAATGGTCCGACTGCAGGCTGTACAAGACCTGGCAAGCAACAATCACTGGCGTGGTAATGTGTGCTGATGTAGCCTAATTCATCCCAGAAATGCAACAAAGTCTCAGTTAGCTGTTCCAAGTCTGCTGCCAACATGAAGAAAAGCTCGTAGCTGCAAGAAGCATAAATATGCTCTGAAATTCGGTCTAAAATGTGGGGGAGTTATTTACATTTCAAGTAGCTGTTCTTTCCTAACACCCTGACACAGAGTGTGTGTCTGCAGTGCAGACCTCTCTCTGTTTCCCACCAGAGCATTCCAACCATTGCTGTATTGTGGGAGAGCAGTTCATGCTCCTTATTCCTGGAGTTTTCTGTTGGGACTGCTAACACAGTCACTAGTTCTGACAGTGATTTTTTTATAAGGCTCTGTAGGAGTGAGTTTAAAGCCATGGTTAAGTTGATAAAAATTGGTTAGGAGCTGATATGTAGTAATGACAAACCAGAGGTAAAGGACTTGTATGTGTAAACATGATTTGTAAGCCATTTTTTGTCCTAGTTATTATTTAGTAGTAATAAGTTCACCCTGTTGCTCTAGCAGCAAACATCCTTGAAACCCCAAGGGGAGGTGTGTGTGTATGTGAATATGCGTGTCCTTCTCCTCACTCCATCACTAGACCGCATAAACTAGGTGACATTCTGTTCTGGGTTCTCATTAGTCAGGTAATTCAGACAGTAGAGGATCTTTCACTCTTCCAATGCAACTCCAAGCCATGGGATTTATTTTGTTTCAAATCGCCTCTTTAAAAATCTAATTAATTTCCATGGGGAATTTACATCAACAAATTGTGTTTGAAAAGATCTGAAAGCTAGGGTGTACCAAGACTGAAGCTTTGCGTACTAGTTTAGTGTAACTGTCTGGTGTTTGTAGGAGAATACTATCTGTTAGCGGGTGATCTCAGGATCTCAGAGCACGGGGTGTCCAGTATTAGGAATTTAGTTGCTTTTTGTTATCTCCCTTTCTCTGTAGTGCTCATTGTTGTAGTATTTGGATGTTTCACAAACACTTATTGTTCTTGCCAACTGCCTTATGAGGGAAACAGGCTTTTTTTTAACCTGATACTTCAAAATGGAGTCCAAGAAAATTTAAGATTGAAAGTATGTGCTAACTTTTCACAACTAGAACCAAAGTGTTCAGCTTGTCCAAAGCACAGCTCCAGTGAATTCAGTTTGCAGATGTGAGTGATCTACACTGAAGAAAAAATATGGCCAATCTGTGACTGTGAAAATTATATTTTAAATGGCTTGTCAGTTTTGTTCTAGAATTGAATAACAGTAACAAGAAGAGAAGCAAATTTTTATTTTTTTCCCTTCAGTTTGCCACTGAATTTCAGTATGTAATTTTTAGTTTTTCCAGCTTAAAGTAAGTAGGTTTTGGAAAGGAAGAGTAGTTGCTCTTTAAGTCTGCTTTCCCTTCAGTAGAGTAACTGAAAGTCTCTCTTGTATTTTCATTAAGGAAGGGCTACTTAAAACTGTACTGTGCTATCAATTTTATTGAAATGTGGCTTTTTGTATAATTTGAAGTTTAGGGTGATCTCTTTGCAGTATTTGGATTTAAGGCTTTGGTTTTTAATAATGTATGCAGAAGAGCATGCACGATGCCTTCTAAATTTTAACTCAAGCTTCGGTTTGTAGTTCTTGTATTCCTTTCACAGTGGCAATACTGAATATTTGCTTTTGCTTGTGCTCAAATTATATCTGAGGACCTATGTCAAGCTGGTCTATAATGAACAGTTAGTGCCCAGGTGTATTTCAGTTCAGCACAGTGCTGATCTAACATCTGCAGTTTTTAACTTCTGGAATTTGTGGTTACAAAATCAGAACTTAAGTAGATTGCAGAGAGGTGGTTCTTTTTTCAAGTGTATTTACAAAGTAGATCAGAAACTTAATTTAAAACCAAACGAAATGTTTAAGGTTAGTTTTAACCCTAACATTGAAATTCTTGTGTGACAGATTATCAATATGGTACAGTTGCTCAAACCTGTGATCAAAGGACTGCTATAGGTTTGGCTCGATCTAAAGGTATTGACCTTCGCTTTTTCCTGCCTCCACCACCATTGCCAAAAATAAAGACTGTAAGTAAATGAAAAGTAGGTATTAGATGATTCTTAGTTGCTTATTTGTTTTTACTGCTTTTGTTATTGTTGTTTGTTGTTTAAAGTAGAGTTCTTCTAAAGTAACTAACTAGTAGTAAAATTAAGACTAAAATACAAAACTGTAAGATATGATATACCCCTGGGGTATATCTGCATTAGCGAATGGCATGATGGAAAGAAATAAGATTGAACACATTGCTCAATTACTGTTCTTGAACTGTATATCCACAGTATATATTTACCAGCAGTGAAGTCTGAACCAGTTACCAGTATGATACACACACTGCTTCTCTGTACCTAATGGGCAATGCGAAGAAGTCATCCTGGGTTGCCTTGTTGATCCTGACAAAATCCTACATATAGGTAGTGTTCCTGGAGGCCTTTGCATCCTCAGTGCTAGTGTGGTGCTCTGCTCTAGACCCACCTCTTCATTACCAGGTTTTGGTTGTCAACAAATCTTTATTGGATAAATTTGGCCTTGGTTTTTCTTTCTAATATATATTCTATATATATTATATATACTATGGTCAGAGCAGTCATGCCATCATCAGCTTCTTCAATAAACAGAATTGGCACACAAAGCATAATATATGAGGTGTTTTGTAATGCTGATAGAATGAATACTGGCAGAAGTCCCTGTCAAAAACTACCTGTCAGAAACTACCTGTATATGTTAACCAACAAAACTCTGAAACACCAGCTTAGATTCATTGTGTTATGCTCAGTTTTTCCTTTCTTATCTTAGGTTATACTAGTGTATGGTTGTGTATATATTTCTACAGGAGTATGATTACTAGGTGATTGAAGCTAAGAGTTCCCAATCTACTGCTTAGCAAATTCAAGCAAATCATTGTGGCAGTTCTAATCATCACAAATGTCTCCATGTCGGATTGCAGCCAGGATTAGAATAACTGTGAATTCCATGACTGTGGGCAAATAAACTTTGTTATTCAACTTTGTTGAATTTATCAGTTGATCTACGGATTGTTAAATGAACACCTGTATGAATATTTTGAATATAAAAGCTTAAAAGAAATGTTGTCTTTATTTTTTACTTGTAATTTATACATTCATTTTAATGGAGTGTCACCAAAAGGACAGCATCATGAGCTAGTTGAGGAGGGTGATTGTTGCACTCTACTCTGAGCTGGTGCGACCCCACCTGAAGTACTGTGTGCAGTTTTGGGCACAACAACATAAAAAAGATATAAAGCTGTTAGAGAGCGTCCAAAGGAGGCAACAAAGATGGTGAAGGGCCTTGAGAGAAAGCCTTATGAGGAGCGGCTGAGGTCACTTGATCTGTTCAGCCTGGAGAAGAGGAGACTGAGAGGAGACCTCATTGCAGTCTACAATTTCCTCGTGAGGGGAAGAGGAGGGACAGGCAGTGATCTCTTCTCTGTGGGGACCAGTGACAGGACCGAACGGAATAGCCTGAAATTGTGTAGGGGGTGGGTTAGGTTGGATATTAAAAAAAGGCCTTCACCCAGAGGGTGGTTGGGCACTGGAAAAGGCTCCCCAGGGATGTGGTCGCAGCACCAAGCCTGATGGAGTTCAAGAAGTGTTTGAACAAAGCTCTCAGGCACACAGTGTGATTTGTGGGGTGGTCCTGTGCAGGGCTAGAAGTTGGACTTCAGTGATCCTTGTAGGTCACTTCCAACTTAGGATATTCTATGATTCTAGGAAAATTACTGTGTAGTTAGGGATGAACTTCTAAGTTTCCTGTGCCAAGAGGAACATACCAAAGTATGAAGTGTAAAGTATGGAGCTTTTCATCACTTATTTGGTGGTTTTAGAATTACCAGTTTTCAAAGCCTTTACAGATATAACTACTAAAGAGTTGCAGAGCACTTAAGTCCAGGGTTCATATTTTATGGCCTCATTAGTATGGCTGATTCCATTATGTCAAATATTTATTTTCTCTGTGTTTTGCTTCATGCTTTGAACAAAACTAGAAGCTATTTGTGCTTACTTCTTGCAGGATTATCCCATAGAAGATGAGCTTCGCTTGTTGTTAGTATCTTTACCTCAGACTGGTCTTGATCCATGTGTCCAGTACTTCACATCTCTTGCTTTACGGGAAAGTAGCCAGACTCTTGCTGCACAAAGGGTGAGTTCCCATCTGCAAAGTAGAACTGTTTGGGTTCTTTGTTCCTGCAGAGCTCAAAGATATAAACCTATTTCCACATTTTTGAGCATTGTAAGAGGAAGAGAAATACAGAGACTTTGTGACCGCAGAACATAAGCAAAATCTCTTCTAAATACAGACTATCTGCTTGAAAGCTTGTTTGTGTTTCCCAGCTGTATTAGTGGAAAGGTCTAGTGAAAGATTGTATCCTTCAAATCTTCCCATTAAGCAGATATTTCAACATTTTATCCAAAACATTCCTTTCCCTTGTAGTGCTCATAAAGTGATTTTTCACATTTTATCTTACTGTTGTTTGAATTTTCACTTACTGCAGAGATGATTAAACCTCTGTTAAGTCTTACTAGCAAACTAGTAGTTGTTAGCACACCTCAAATAGTAAACTCTGTTATATCATGTGGAAATTCCTCACTGGAACAGATCCCTGTTACCAAACCAGAAATGGAATAGTCTAGTGGTCTTTCTGAACTTGGAAACTAGGGGTTCTTCAACAGTGCAACAGCTTCTTTAGTGGCTTTAGGAACATCATTTAAAGTACCATTATTGCTTAAAAATAATAATTGTAATGCCACTTTCATCCACTCTTTCTTGTGAATTTTATTTTTTATTTAAAAGTTGTGACTTCTTTAATGAGTGATTATTTTTTTTTATCAGATGCAATAGCAAACATGAATTCATTTTAATAGTGATGCTTGTCAGCCTACATTTGGAGATTTCTAAGTGCAATAACTCTATAGTTCCTCTAACAGAGTTATGTGTATTATTTTTATGCTATCACTCCTTTATTTTTTTCACAGCCAGAGCTCTTGGTACAAAGTGAGCTTTGGTAAGACACTGCACTTGTAGGAATTTTGATTTTTGTTGAGGTTATGCTGGTCTTTCTGCTCTGTGATTGAGAGACTGGTTGTCAGAGGCTATGCCACATATTGGAGACCTTTTTTCTCCTATTTCTAGTTTTGCAACTATGGAAGTCTAAATTTAGTTTGAGTCCTGCTTTTCACGCTTAAACAAATGATCTTAAAAGAAGACGTTCATTAACAAAATGAAAATCCTGCATTTTTTCCCTTTATTTATGTTTTGAAGTTAATAGACTATGGAGACTACTGACTGAAAATCTAATTAATATTTTCAGTTAAAAACAGTAAATATTTTTATGGTGTACTGTTGTGTAGTTTGTACATTTTGAAAAGTGTGTGCATGCTGTGCACTCTTTAAAGCCATTTCTATAGATCATTACACACTTAACGGTTCAGTTTAGACATCCTTGTTTTATGTAGCCATTTGAAGTGTGTTATGATTTTTACTGTTTCTCATTTCAGGGAGGCTTATGGTGTTTTGGAGGAAACGGACTTCCATATTGTGAGACATTGAGTAAAATCCCTTCAGAAACAGTGGAACTCTTTTGCTTGCAGGCTTTAGTACAGCATTCTAAGGTAATTTGTCCTTTAAACTATCACTGAAAAACTACATTTATAAACATTCCTTTTTAATGCTCTCTCATGTATTGGGAAGGAGTTGCCATTTCTTTGTCTCCTACCCCTCACTCCTTCTGTAAGGGTGTTCAGACAACCAAGACTGGTGTGAAACAAAGGCAGTGTAACAAGCTAATTTTTTTTTTCTCATGGGGAAGTGTATGTAAATTCTGTTCTTGTTTCTAATTAGCCCTTACAAGTTCTCCTGTAGTAGACCTGTGTGTATCTTTCAAGAAGTAAAAGGGCAGCTCTGAGACAGAAAAGCAGGAGAGAATACCTGAGGTCCGGGTGGCTTAAACGATTTCATCCTATGTGAGGCTACTTCCCACTGACAGCTAAAGTCATTGGAGATGGATATCATGAGGCAACAGTGTTTCCACTCTGCAGCTTCTCAGTAATCGAGATACTGATGATGTGAAATTCTCAGTGCAAAGTATGTGGATTTGTGTGAGTCAGTGTACATCAGTTCAGAAAGCTTACAAGCAGGTCTCTTCTTGCGACTCTTAATTCGACTCTAGTGTCAGGTTTTCACAAAGTAAAGTAGCCTGATGAATTCAAACCTTATCTATTCAAAAAGCTCCCTCCTTCAGGGACCACTGCCTTTGGGCAGACTACTGCACAGCAAGCACCTAATACAGTGGCCTCCCAGGACCAGTCTGTTCTTTGCAGACACAGATGAAGAGTATGGAAGACTTTTTGTAACAGTGATTCTTCTTGTTTCCTGTTGCTGCGCTCTTCTGTGTGCAGTTCATTGCTCAGAAGCTAAACCACTGAGAAACAGTGTTGAGAACACCAAATTGTTATTGATAGTAGGGGTGGATAAAGTGCAGTTTGCTGGTATTTCTTTCACATCTTCCATATACATAGAAGTTCTGACTTAGTCTGGAATGTGTTATATTCCACATTTTCAGTTTAAGCAAGTTGTGACTGTACTCGTTTGCACAAGTTGTGACTGTTGAAAACATACTTGAGGATATCAGCAGTTTGGTAGCTACCATGCAATTTTAACACTGTAGACAGTCTGTTCAAGTCATAAGCATTTGGCCAATATTGGTAGTTGACACAACTAATTAGCGCATATTCATCTGCTTAGACTAAAATCTGTTGTTGCCCTTAGGATCAATAATGATAGCGGTACTATTTGGAAGTAGAAATACCTTTGCATTTCAGTGCATTTTAGATGGTGGACAGGAAGGCAAGTGGCTCTGGTTGAGATAATGCTCTAACAAATGCAGAATATTGGCCTGTTTCAGACTCTTGAACTTAAGCTGAAATTTGATCATGACAAGTGGAGAGCAATCTCATCTCCCTAAGATGTGGAAGAGAGTAAAGTGATGGTACTCAGTGTTTTCCAGGTTGTCAATTCATAGGAATCATGCATTTATCATATTAAAATATTTACTTCCTCTTTAACTATGGCATAATAAATTCTAGATTAATAATAATTTCCATGTAATAAGTGCTCTGCATTATATCGGCTCCTTGAAACTCCCTAATCTGTGAATTAACAGCATCTAAAGAACCTTTTGCAGAATATCTAATTATTATCACTGTATTTACTGTATAATGCTAGATTTCTTCTCACTGTGATAAAATTGAAGCTAAAGGAGGCCTTCAGCTACTACAGAGGATATACCAGCTACGTAAAGATTCAGCAAAGATACAGAGGAACATAATTCGCATTATTGGAAATATGGCTTTGGATGAACATCTTCATTCGTCCATAGTACGTGCAGGTAAAAGGAAAGCAAGTGCGAGTAGTCTGAATGTCAGATTTCTGTGCTGAAAATTTCTGAGGATTTGGTGCTTATGTAAAATGAAGAGGACCATGGTAGTGGTGTGGGTTTTATATTTGCGGGGCTGGGGAGGTGTTGTTCGGATTTTTTAACACAAAAAGTTTAGACTGTTTAGATGGTTTTGATTAAGAACTCTTGTTTGCTGTCTAGCCAATGTATGTCAATGAGAGCTGTCCAAAGTCTGATGGATGGTGAAAATTTGGACTTTGTTGATGTTCGGTTCACATTACTGGCAAAAATCTTTTTTGAGTTTCCTGCTCTTACAGATCATCTACCTTGTACATTTTTTTTTTTTAATTTACTGTGTTTTAGTCTTGTATGGGAACAGACCAACTTGCAATCCTCACCTTTTGGAACAAAGTGAAACGTGATGCCTTTCCCTTCCTTGTTTTCCTACTGACTTCTGCTAAGCTTTTCTCTCATACCCCTTTTTTAATACCCTCTAAATATCACAATGAAAGTTCTGTACCAAATAAATAAATCTCAATGTTTTATTAGAAAATAAATAAATAGAAAATATCAATATGCTGTTGTATAGGTCCAAGCTGGACCTTTTAAACACTGTGCATTTTTAATCTCTGTTACACAAGGGAGGAGTAGCAAAGGCACAGGAAAACACTGTGAGGATGATGAAAAATTTGAAATGGCTGTGATGTAAAGAACAAATAACTAAACTGAGATGATTGGTATGGAAAAAAGCGACTGAAAGAGAATACAATGAAGATTTGTAAAATTCTCTTCGCTGGCATAGAGAAGGCAAAGAGGGAATGGTCATCTGCTGTTTGTTGTGATGCAAGATCAAAGGTTCTTGCACATTAAATTATGAAGAGACAGAACAAATAAATACATATTTTTCAATATATTGCATGACCAAACTAAAAATTGCCTTAAAACATGGTGATAGTTGAAGATTTACAAAGCTTCAAAAAGTGATTAGACAAATTCATTAAAAGAAAAGTCCATAAAGTTCTACACATGGAAACCAAGCTGACTGCAGAAAACCAGAGGGTATAGAGTAGAATCAGCACTGTACAATTGTCCTTTTACTGGTCTATTCTTCTATTGTTCTGCAACTTCCACACTGCTCACTTCTGAAGAAAGGCAGCTAGACTACAAAGGCCTTTGTTCTGAGTTGTAGCACCATTCCTAAATTCTTATGATTGTTAAAAGCATATATGTAGAGGAAGAGATTGAAACAGGAGAGTCAGGAGCTCCCTGGGACAGAGCTCTTAGTACAAAAGGAATTTTGGACAGTGAACCAAACTCCAGAGATGAGCAGTCAGATACTGCTGATCCAGAGCTGATAAAGCTTCTCTTTTATTGCTGGAGGATGCATAAGAAGAAAGAACCTCTAAGGCTCTTTTACATGCAAAAACTGCTGGCACAGGAAGAGGAAGAAAAAGAGATGCATTTTGTAGTAGCTGTGATGGGGTATCTGGAAACAGAAGGATTCTGAACACTATTTTTGACTCTCGGTCTTGGCTCATTTAAGAGAAATGCAAAACCGAAGACTGCGCTAGTTTTAGTCAAACTGGCTTGGCAGTCTCCACTGTATTCGGAGAACTGAAAGTAGACTTTAGGTAGTATTCTTCTGAAGGAGAACATGCACAATGGTCAACATATATTCTGCTTAGAAATGTAATTTAAATACATAATTCTTTTAAAAAAATTTGTTTGTTTAAATCAAAATTCAAATGTCAGTTCATTCTCTTCCTCAGTCTACAGTGAACTATCCTGAATTAGCAACTTACTGAGTATACTAGTAGTAACATAATGTACATGATTTTGAAACAATGCTCATGAGATATATTGTTCTTTTTTTAAACCAGCCTCCATTTGATAATCTCTCTTCAAGGTTTTCCTTTTGAACTTGACTGTAATGTAATTGTGATTTATAGGCCACTTTTGCTAGCAGCAACAAGATTTATCCGTATTTGAAGGAGACGTATATATTTGCGTGTGCACATAAAAGATATTCCTTTGAATTTTTCAGTAGTCTGTGAACATCCCCATCCATGTTTAAGACAATTTTACACTTTAGGTAGAGTATTATAAAGTGTTTCTAAGTCATGGTAGCTATGAATTAAAATTTTATTGACAGTTGTATCAAATCTAATTATTATATGTTTCTGTGGTATAAATAGTATAGTATTTTTAGAATAGCAGGGATATTTTGATTCCATAATGAGTTTTTCATACATTGGATTTTAAAATAGAAATGGTTGTACTACTCTTACAGGGAGCATCAATTTTTTTCACCTACCATTGCTCCTGTAGGTTGTTTTTTATGCCTCTCTTGTGCTTTAAGATTCATTTTCACCATCTTCCTTGCATTTTAGCTGCAAAAAGAGACCTGAGATGTGTTCTCTCTCTGACAACTGTATTGACCTGCAGATACACTTCCTTTTTCTTTTGAGAAGACGTCCTCCTTCAGATCATAAGCTGAACAGTAGTAAAATACATTGCCTCTTTGCCTCTCTGAATTTTTGAATTTTGGAGATTCCACTTACCTATCTTTGGCTTTCCTGAAGTAAAGAGTGGATTGAAATAATTTATTTTGATGTTACCCTTCTTAAGTTTTAACATCTGTTTTCACAAGTATAGTTTAAAGGGTGATGTTTCTGAATTCTTTCATTTGGATGATGTTTCTATTAGTTAACCTGCTGCTTTATTTTCTCAATGTAGGTTGGGTTTCTGTACTTGCTGAAGTAATGAAATCCCCACATATCATTCAGTCTTCTCATGCATCCAGAGCTTTGGCTAATCTAGACAGGGACACGGTGGAAGAAAAATATCCGGATGGCGTTTATGTCTTACATCCACAGTATCGTAGCAGGTAAAGCAGAAGGAGACATTGTAAATGCTGTACTTCGAGTTTTTTACGCTTTTCAGTTACAAAACCTTGGAAGAGTTGAAATCAGAGTGTTGCTGTAGTGTTATCACCTGCTCCTCCTGTTTTTTGGTGGGTTGAAAGGACTGAATTTACATTCTCAAGTAGAAGAACAACACGAGTGGTTGGAGTAGTCCATAACCATGAAAAGGGTATTACTGTAATGCATGGAAAAATCCGAACACAAAACATGAGATTAATTACTGCTTTGCATGTGTTGCAACCCTTTAACCTTTGCACTGTATGTCTTGGATACCATGCCTTGTAACTATTCTACTGGCATCAGCACATGTTGGCCTAAGATGCAGTAAATTTTCATCTTAGCCTCTTTAAATATCAGTTGTGGATCTGGGACCGAAGCAGTCTCCAGCGTGCTATGTCACTTAGTAGCAACTATTCCCTGGGCTCATTGATATTACTCAGATTGCAGTGAAGATCTAATTAGATGATAAAGCTGCCTTAATAGTAGCTGGAGGGAAAGCTGGTTTTCATTATAGAAAATTACGATTTGTGAGGTGGGTACTTTCCATACCTCTTTTTATATCTCTTCTAGGTGTATCCCTGGTTTTTGTCTTGATCTGAGTGTACTCTTGGAAATACCATGATATACTGTCCATGAGATAAGAAATCACATGTAGTGTTAAAAAAAGTGTTTTGGCATCCCTTAGGTTAAAAGTTCTAATTTGCTAAAAGAATATGTAACACATATCTCTTAAAAATTCCTTTTTCTTTATCAGTCAGCCCATCAGAGCAGACATCCTTTTTGTTCACGGTCTTTTGGGAGCAGCATTTAAAACCTGGCGACAGCAAGACATTGACAGGCATTTGGATAAAAAGGTCTCAGAAGGCGAAGAGGACTATAGTCAGTGCTGGCCAAAGGTAAAAAGGCAGTAACATTTTTACACATGGCTGCTGTTTTCTCATTAGTGAGAGCTGTCCAGAGCATCTAGCATCTGTCTGGCAGATGTCTTTTTTGAATCACATTAGTTGTAATATGTTATACAAGTAGCACTTTCCAAGTTCCTGATAGATTTTTGTTAGTGAGTTGTTTGTTGTTCGTGCAAGGAAAAATCTCTGCTAAGTTTAATGCTTTCAACATCATTCATGTGCTAGTGAAATAGAAGGCCATGGCTGCTTTCCTTATGCTCTTTTTTTTTTTTAATGGAATGTTGTTGCTGAGGAAAAGATATATAAAATTACATTTTAAATTAAGTACCCTCTCTTACATAGGTGTCTGAGTATGTGCAGATTGCTATTTAAGTATTGTTGGTGAATAAGTGGTTACTGCTTCAAGTGACTTACACTGGTATAGCCACTGAAGTATCTCTGCAAAACATGAACTGATCAGTTCTGTTGGTAATCTTAGTCTTGTTTCACCCAGGAGAGGGAGCCAGGAACGCACGAGTTAGAGATCAGTTTTCATCCTTTGCCTACTTTGTGGCTGGGGAACAGCCTAGAGTTCCCCAGCATATAATAAGAATAATAATCCAGGTGTAAAATGTATTTGGGGATTAACTGATGAGTAAAAGTCTTGCTTGATATTGTCCCCATAGTAACATCTTTGCTTCATTGCTGGTAAGTTGCTTGCAAGAGTTCAAGTACCCCAATTATAAGTTCTTTGATTTTGCTTTTCTTTTAATTTAGACATGGCTGGCTTCAGACTGTCCTTCCCTTAGAATCCTATCTGTAGAATATGACACCCATTTGAGTGACTGGAAAGCAAAATGTCCTGTTGAGGCTCACAGGTAACAAATATAGCATCTGCAGTTTAGAGGGGGGGCAGGAGGGAGACCTGTAAAGCTGATTCTTGGGATCTCCTAGTGTGAAACAGTGAATTTATCTTGTGTGGCATTGGAAAATCAAATTTGGAAAAAATTAATTATAGTCATGATATGCTTGATTTTTTTTAGCCTCATGAATTACTTCTGGCAATTTCATGAATTCTTACAGGCCATTCTACTCATGTTTAGGGGAGACTAAACAATGCTATTAGTTAATGTAAATCTTAAAGAGGATATTTCTTGAAGTGACCCTATAATGCTTCATAAGCACAGCAAAAAAATCACTGTACTGTGGCTTTGAACTCCTGATAAAATGAAGCATATATTTTCATAGAATTGTTTAGGTTGGAAAAGACTCTTCAGATCATTGAGTCCAACCATTAACCCAGCATTGCCAAGTCCACCACTAAACCATGTCCCTAAGTCACATATCTTTTTAGTACCTCCAGGGATGGGGACTCAACCACTTCCTGGGCAGCCTATTTCAGTGCTGGACAACCCTTTTGATGAAGAAATTTTTCTAATATCCAATCTAAACCTCCCATGGTGCAACTTGAGGTTGTTTCCTCTCATCCTGTCATTTGTTACCTGGGCCAAGAGACCAACCCACAACTGGCTGTACCCTCCTTTCAGGTAGTCATAGAGATAAGGTCACCCCCCTGAGCCTCCTTTTCTCCAGGTTAAACAACCCCAGCTCCTTCAGCTGTTCCTCATAGGACTTGTTCTCCAGACCCTTCACTGGCTCTGTTGCCCTTCTCTGAACGTGTTCCAGTGCCTCAAAATCTTTTTTGTAGTGAGGAGTCCAAAACTGAACACAGGATTCAAGGCATTGCCTCATCAGTCACTTCTCTCCTCCTGCTGGCCACATTATTTCTGATACAAAGATACTTTGTTCAAAAAGTGTTACTTTGACCCATAAAATACAGCAACTGTATCTGATTTGGTCAGATAGTGTAATTGTCAGAGGAGTTGCATTTTTGCTGTTGGTGAACTGGATAGGTCAAAGGAAGATGCAACCATCAAGCATTTTCTTCCTGAAAAATAAAAATACTTTGAGCCTGTAAGAGTTCTTTGGCTTGAATGAATTTTAGACTTAGTAATTGTGATCTTTAAATCAGAACCTAAGTCCTTCAAACACTTATGCAGATACTTTAACATGTTACTAGTACTGTAGATTCAACTTGTGTACTTCAGTGGAAGTATGTGCATGACTGCTCACAGGTTAGGAATCTGAAATTGGATTATGTTTTGTGCAGGGAAGAAAAAATTTCAGCATGTGTGTAATAGACTGGGAACTTGCTACTTGTTCTTTCCCTCCTCCTGGTTATATGAAAGCTCAATGCAATTATTGCATTAAAGAAGACATATAAGCAGGGAAAAAATAAGGAAGGCATGACTGTTAATATGCCTATTTGAAATGAGGCAGAAAAATGACAGTAAGAAGCATGTAGGTGGTTACAGGTCCAAAGAAAACTGGAAATGGCTTTAAGTTGTACCAGGGAAGGTTTAGATTGGATAATAGGAAAAAATTCTTCACTGAAAGGGTTGTCAAACCCTGGAAGAGACTGCCCAGGGAAGTGGTTGTCTCCCCATCTCTGGAGGTGATATGAAAATGTGCAGATATGGCCCTTAAGGACATGGTTTTGTGGTAGACTTGGCAGTGCTGGGTTAATGGTTGGACTCTATGATCTTAAGGGTCTTTTTCAACCTAAATGATTCTGTGATTCTAAGAAAACTCTTTTCCGTGTCTGTCTGAAGTATGTTTAAAGAAATAAAGATGTATTTCTTTCACTAAGATTAATGTCTTTTTCATTACAAAATGGAAAATTAATTACCTGCTATTTATGGTCACCCAAGCATAGTATTTGATTATTTTATAATTTTATATGTTTAATAATAAGTGAAAAATATTGAAGATATTTTTAACTACCAGGAACACAAATGTGGCAATAAAATCATAAACTTGGTTTGCTTTTAAGTGTGTGGTCTCATTCACTGTTTCAAAAGTGAATTTTTATGCCCCTCTGCTAGCCTAAAGCCTATTGTTCAGCTGAAAAGACACACTTGAGTATCCTTTTCATATGTGTTATAAAGCAATTTCTAGTGAGAATGCTGAGACCAATAGAGATGAAGTGAATTATTTTGCACAGTGGTTGCCCCAGTATCCTGATGCTTTCATTATCCAAAGGCTTTCTGTGTTTGATTCTTGTTACACTGCAAGGCATAATGATGTTGCACTTTCAAGCTTGGATTGAGAATTGGGGTTGGTTTTGTTTTGGTTGTACCACAGATTCATTTTCAGCCTCTAAAGTGTAGCTTATCCTTTCCAGAGTTCAGTCTTTTCATTTATAAAGTGGAGATTATTATGCTTTCATACTATTCCAGTACAAAGCATTTGGAGATTTTCGTCTGGAAAGTCTAGCAGACATTAGATGTGATTTTTTTTAATGTGTTGGTTGATCATGCACTTAGTTGTTAAGTTTCTGTACATTGCTCCACATTTGGAGCATTATTTAGCAAAATACGTTTTTGTCAGACACTAGGCATGTTCCTGTTGCAAGGGATAAAGTTCATTATGTGTCGATGTTGCTTTCGTAAAATGAAAACATCATTTTGTTACAGTGTGTAAATGAAATTATTTAAAACTCCGTAAAACAATTTGTCAAGCTAAGGGAAATTATTGGTAAGTGAAATTAAAATAAAACTTTCTTGCAAGAGCAAGAAACTGAATTTAGCTCAATTTCTGTTGTCCTTGTGAAGCCAACCTTAAAAAGTTTTTGGCATTTTTCACTGTAGCAACAATAATTAAATAATTAACGTTTCTGTAACTAATTCACTTCCATAAACACACAGCACTGAAAATTCATTGTGTTTTAACGTTGCCTTTTAACCTATCATGCTTCATTATGCCTGTGTTCATGTTTCCTTTGCAGGAAATCTATTGCTTACCGGAGCAGTGAGCTGCTTGACAAGCTCAAAGCTGCTGGGATTGGAGACAGACCTCTGGTGTGGGTATCTCATAGCATGGGTGGTAAGCATGTTGCCTGTTTGATATAAAGTATTTTTTTGACTTTTTATTTCAGAATAAGCTGTTACACAAATTCAGATTGAAATACAATTATTCAGAATAGTTTATTTTAAAATTTTACAAAGACCTAAAAATGAAAAACAAATTTCTGTTTTCTTAATGTGTTATACTCAATAGCGTATACATTTTGAAACGATTTTTATTGCTGTTTGGTTTTACATGTTGATTTAAAAACTCAGTGAGTTGAAATTCATGTAAATGGAAATCCAGAGGCAAAATTTTCTCCATGATCAGGCGTATAGTAAATGTCATTAGCAACACTTAAAACAAACCAAAATTGGATTTGCATCATTCATTGACATTTTGTATTAATGCCTTCTCAGGTTTGGTTTGGTTTTTCTTCAGCTTAATCTTATATATTTGACTGTCGAAGGACTAATCAATGAGGCAAGAATACGGTTAATTGTTTCATGGATAATATAGCATGATCATTATTTTCACAGTGGTTTAAATCCCTGCATTAATTCAGTTTCTGTTGCCAGGTCTTCTAGTCAAAAAGATGCTGGTGGATGCTTCCAAGAATCCAGAAATGGATAAAATTGTAAACAACACCAGAGGAATCATATTTTATAGTGTACCTCACCATGGTTCCCAGCTGGCTGAATATTCTATAAATGCCAGATATCTTCTCTTTCCGTCTGTGGAGGTTAAAGAACTCAGCAAGGGTACGTTCACTTTGCTACCATCTAACAACAGGGAACTCTGCTAATGTGTTCACAAAGCTTTTGTTTTTTCCATCATGTTGTCAGAAGAAGCTAGGTAAAAACAACAACCCCCCTTTTTATGTTTTGGGTCGTGTGTTGAATTATTGCAAGTGATTCTGAGTAGCTGTTTCATTGATTGCAGAGGTGAGGAGAAAAGGGGGAGTCAGAACAAGTTTAAAGAGTAGTTTGGGTCATTCAGCAAAGTAATAACATGTACCAGACCTGGGACTCTTATCTTCCAACCTAATTCTATGCTATGCAGAATTAAACAATTGTTGCATATGGTAACTGGAAAAAAGGGATTACAGACTAAATGCTACTCCTTTTACTGTCATATTAATTTTTCAAAACCAACTCTTTAGCAATGCAGTCTTGCCAGACAAATGCTATAATCTTATGTTCCAGATAACACTGCAAAAATTATGTTGCTCTTTCTTAGATTCTCCTGCACTTAAAGAGCTGAATGATGACTTCTTGTCTTTTGCCAAAGACAAGAAATTTTCAGTGCTGAGTTTTGCAGAAACCTTACCCACGCACATAGGCAGCATGTTAAAACTGCATGTCGTACCTTTGGAATCAGCAGGTAAGTCAAATAGCCATTTAATTTATTTAATTTTGTATATATTCATGTAAACATCGATAATGAGAAAGACTTATAAATGTTGTGGTAGAAAGACCTAGAAAAATGCATCTGTCATGTTGTGGGGTATTTCACTTAAACTTTTGTCTGAGTTTAAACTGCAGTTTCCCTGTTGAGATCTGAAGCAGCTACATTTAGATCTTAGAACAGCAGTTGATTGTTTTGGTTTTTCTAAATGCAAGTAACATTTGCTTGTTGAAAAAAGAAGGATAAAACCTGGTCTAATGTTACACTGTTGGAGTCCTTTCCTTTGGAATTATGACTAATTGTGGTTTATATTTGTATAGATAGGCTGAATAGTGTTTCAGATGCTTCCACAAATTCTAGCTATTTCCTCCTTTAAGAAAATAAGACAGAAAATTAGTAAACTGCTAATGGAGAAAAAAATTCACAAAGCTGGGTTTCAGTGTTAGGAATCTTTTAGCACATCTTGGATACTCAAGCAGTAGAGTTTTCTTCCTGAAGAGTTTCCTCCATCTTTTTGCCTTTCGTAGGAGGAAGACCAAACAGTTTTTTCCCTTGCTTTTTTTGTGGGTGCTCAACTTAGAGAATTGTTTTAAGTCTTACATTTTTGGGTTTTCATGAAGCAAAACCTTCTTTTGCTCTACCCAAAGTATCTGTAAGGCCCTGAACAGAAACCATTGCTTTGTTGGGTTTCATATCAGGCTTTCCACCAGCTAAATCCACTACCTTAAGTCCAAGGTCAGTTGCTCTGAAGAAGGTGAGCTATACATCCCTGTTTTTCTGAGTCAATATTTAGCAGTATTTTTACAGTATGTCTTCTTGAGCAGCAATTGTTCGCAAAAATGTTGCTGATGCAATTTGATTGGCAAGGACTGAAAAACAGGACTTTGGTTGTTTTTGGTTTTTTTTTGATTTAGCAAAATAAAATTAAAGAGAGGGCTGAATGACAGAGCCCAAATTAATACTGTGTGTGCACTTATAATTTTGTAGCATTTCTCCTCTTCTAGAGATGATACACAATGCAGCATGTGAGCACTCTTGCAAACCTTTAGAGGGTACATGACAGTTCGGTGGCACAGCACTTGTTCTGTTCAAAATGCAGGCTGATGAGCAGTACACTCCATGTTTCTTGCATGTGTGCTTGAGCACACAAAAGCAAAGCTTCATTCTGCTCTAGTGTAATTTTACATGGTTAAAGATACAGAGTTCAAAGCAAAGTGAAGGATTTCGAGGTTGCTAAGTGAATAGGTAATAAACCGGAATGTGGCAGTCATGGCATCTTAACTGGAAAGTTAGTAGTGATAGCTGTCAGGAAAGAATAAATGCCACAGTGTTAATATTTCATTTGCCCAGAAATGTGTGTGGTGATTGTGGCGTATTTCAGGTTAATTCTAGTCCAATTTTTAATCTCCACATCAAAGCATTTTTGTGAGGAATATGGGCAACTAGTGGTGATCAGATTCAAGATACTGTGGATTAAACCCTATCCCTGATCATATCAATGCTTAAACCTCAGTCACAACTGTGCTGTCCGTCAGGTGCTGGTAAATGACGTTTTGTGTCATCGGAGTTGTCTATATGAAAAAAATGTACATTCGTGTATATCAAACAAACATGGTAGAACTCTGGCCTAATGGTTTACTAGTGTGGATTTTTGGCAGTGTATAGCTCTGTCTGACCGTATCAGTGTGCACTGTTGTTTCTAGCACATTAAAAAATAATGAGGACCAAACAGTTACACTGAAGACTGGAGAAGTTGCTTTTGAGAGAGAAATTGCTAATATAAGATGTGCTTTTCAGTCTAGGTCATCTTATGAACTTTAGTAGTTTTTTCTTTTTTTTTTTCTTCCCTCTCCCAGACTTAGGAATTGGAGACCTTATTCCAGTGGATGTTAATCATCTAAATATTTGTAAGCCAAAGAAGAAGGATGCTTTCCTGTACCAACGTACACTGAAGTTCATTCAGGATGTTTTAGCCCAAGAACTTAGAGACTGAGTATTTGCTATCCTTGGCTATTTGTGCCCTCCATTTGGTGTGACACAGAAAGTTCTTATTTGTTAGGGGATCTGCAGAACTACACGAGTGCTATGTCAGTAGTATCTGCAGCTGAATAATTTTCAGTACATCTCCAACTTAGACACCTCTGCAATTTATTTCTAAAATACATTCAAAACAAATACAGACCTGGCAAAAAGAAAATGTGTGCCCAGGATATCTTCTTTTAGCAAAAAGACACAACTTTGCTTTGGAGACAGGTAAATATACATCTGGGACAAAGTCTTATAGAGAGGATTAGAAACAATTAACTGAGGTGATTATTTATTGTGACAAAAAGGCAAAGAAGCTGCCGCAAAGTGTTGGTTTACTGTCCATGCTAAGTAGTCTGACTGGAGCCTGGAGAAAAAATATCCAAATAAATGAAGGTAACATTTTTGTCTAGTGGCCCAGTTACAGGAGATTTTGTCATTTGCCTTTTCATTTAATAGAGCACCCAGATTTGTCAGCAAATATGGCATCTGTTTTCTGCATGAGAAAGAGATGGGTTGGTAGGTTGTCTTGCTTAGACAACTGTCATGGTTTTTACCTTGTCTGTATTGATGAAAACGGGGCCTCTAGTGGTCTAGTGGTTAGGGTGCAGGACTCTCACCGCTGCGACCCGGGTTCGATTCCCGGCCCCCTGGGCAGATGGAGCTCGTTAGCCCTGTG